CAGTGGGTGTCCCTGGGTGTTCCGTGGGGGTCCCCGTGGGGCTGTGGGTGTCCTGAGGGGGTCCCGTGGGGCTGTGGGTGTCCGTGGGGGGTCCCGTGGGGGTCCCGAGGGCTGTGGGGGTCACCCTGGGGGTCCCGTGGGGCTGTGGGTGTCCCTGGGGGTCCCGTGGGGGTCCCGAGGGGCTGTGGGGGTCACCCTGGGGGTCCCGTGGGGCTGTGGGGGTCCCGGGGGGTCCCTGGGGGTCCCGTGGGGCTGTGGGTGTCCCTGGGGGTCCCGTGGGGGTCCCGGGGGTCCCGTGGGGGTCCCGTGGGTCACTCAGGGGGTCCGTGGGGTCCCGTGGGGGTCCCGTGGGGGTCCCGAGGGGCTGTGGGGGTCCCGTGGGGGTCCCGAGGGGCTGCGCCCCCGCCCCCACCTCTCTGGTGCCGTCGCGGCCCTTCTTCGAGGCACGCGCAGGCTGTAATTCGTTCTCTGCCCTTTGCTGTTGAACTCCACGCGCCCGTCAGACCCTCGTGCTCCACCTGCGGGGACAGGAGTGGGGGACCCCAGAACCCCAGGGACCCCCAAATCATGGGAACCTCAGGGACCCCCAAATCCCCCAATCCCACAAACCCCAGGGACCCGCCAAATCCCCAAAGAGCTGAGACACCCCCAAATCCCACAGACATCCCCAGACCCCTACAGATCCCCACAGACCCCAGGGACCCCCAAATCCCACAGACCCCAGGGACCCTCCCAAATCCCCAAGAGCCCCAGAGACCCCAAATCCCCACAGACCCCACAATCCTCAAATCCCCCAGACCCCGTCAGCCTCGTGCTCACCTGCAGGGCAGGGAGGATTAGAGGATGATTTTGAGGGTTATTATAGGGCCCCGGTGATTTTGGGGTGTTTTTGGGGTCCCCCAGCTCACCATTCTCAGGTGTCCCCCCCTGGTGATTTTTGGGGTGTTTTGGGGTGTTTTTGGGGTCCCCCCGGTGATTTTTGGGGTGTTTTTGGGCCCTCCAGCTCGCCATTCTCAGGTAGTTCATCAGGCTGGTGCCGTGGGGCCAAATCCCGGGGGCGGCGCAGCCCAAGGGGCGCCCCCCGATCTCCTGGGAGCGGTTCAGCTCCCTCACAGCCCCCACCACCACGTGCACAGCGTCAAACAGGAGGCAGCCGAGGCTGGGGGAAATGTGACTTTGGGACCCCAAAATCCACCCCTGACCCCCAAAATCACCCCTGTCACCCCCGATCTCCTGGGAGCGGTTCAGCTCCCTCACAGCCCCCACCACCACGTGCACAGCGTCAAACAGGAGGGCAGCCGAGAGCTGGGGGGATATTTGAAGCTTTGGGACCCAAAATCCACCCCCTGAACCCCAAAATCCACCCCTGTCACCCCGATCTCCTGGGAGCGGTTCAGCTCCCTCCCATTCACCACCACGTGAGACGGCGTCAAGAGCAGGGCAGCCGAGGCTGGGGGGATATTTGAGCTTTAGGACCCCCAAATCCACCCCTGAACCCCAAAATCCACCCCTGAACCCCAAAATCCACCCCTGTCACCCCCGATCTCCTGGGAGCGGTTCAGCTCCCGCACGGCCCCCACCACCACGTGCACGGCATCAAAGAGCAGGGCAGCTGAGAGCTGGGGGGGATTGTCAGCTTTAGGACCCCCCAAATCCATCCCCTGAACCCCAAAATCCACCCCCTGAACCCCAAATCCACCCCTGTCACCCCCCGATCTCCTGGGAGCGGTTCAGCTCCCTCACGGCCCCCACCACCACGTGAACAGCGTCAAACAGCAGGGCAGCCGAGAGCTGGGGGGGAAATGTGGGATTGGGGGCACCCCCTGAACCCCAAAATACACCCAGAGCCACCTCTGACCCCCCAAACCCACCCCCTGTACCCCCCATCACCACCACGTGAACCGCGTCAAACAGGAGGGCAGCCGACAGCTGGGGGGGAAATGTGGGATTGGGGGCACCCCCTGAACCCCCAAATCCATCCCTTGATCCCCCAAATCCACCCCCAGACACCCCCCAGGTTTGCCTCCTGGATTTGGGTTTTCCCTGGTGGGTTTGGGGTTTCCCTTTGGGGTTTGGGGTCTCCCTTTGGGATTTGGGGTCTCCCTTTGGGATTTGGGGGTTCCTTTGGGATTTGGGGTTTCCCAGGTGGATTTTTTGGGATTTCTCTCAGGTTTTTGGGGTCTCCCCTCACCGCAGGGCCAGGATAAGGCCCCAGGTCGCAGCTCTCCCTCCAGGACATGTCGGGGTTTCCCTTTGGGGTTTGGGGTCTCCCTTTGGGATTTGGGGTTTCCCTTTGGGATTTGGGGGTTCCTTTGGGATTTGGGGTTTCCCGGGTGGGTTTTTGGGGTTTTTCCCGGTGTTTTTGGGGTCTCCCCTCACCGCAGGGCCAGGATAAGGCCCCAGGTCGCAGCTCTCCCTCCAGGACATGTCGGGGTCTCCCTCTGGGATTTGGGGTTTCCCAGGTGGATTTTTTGGGGTTTCTCTCAGGTTTTTGGGGTTTCTCTCAGGTTTTTGGGGTCTCCCCTCACCACAGGGCCAGGATAAGGCCCCAGGTCGCAGCTCTCCCTCCAGGACATGTCGGGGTTTCCCTTTGGGGTTTGGGGTCTCCCTTTGGGATCTGGGGTTCCTGGGTGGATTTTTTGGGGGTTTCTCTCCCAGATTTGGGGTTTCTCTCAGGTTTTTGGGGTCTTCCCTCACCGCAGGACCAGGATAAGGCCCCAGGTCGCAGCTCTCCCTCCAGGACATGTTGAGGCTCCGCACGAACTCCCCGTAGAACCGATGGCTCGTGTTGAACATCGAGAACCCCAGCACGGTGGCTGGGGGGGAGGGGAGCGACTCCAGGTGCAGCAGGGGGAAGTCCTGAGGTCAAACAGGGGTCATTGGGGTCACTCTGGGGTCAGTTGGAGGTCACGGGGTCATACAGGGGTCAGGGGTCACCCTGGGGTCATTCGGGGGTCAGGGGTCACCCCGGGGTCACCCTGGGGTCAGTCGGGGTTACTCAGGGGTCACCCCGGGGTCACTCAGGGGTTGGGGTCACCCCGGGGTCACTCGGGGTCACTCAGGGGTCAGGGGTCACTCGAGGTCACCCCGGGGTCACTCAGGGTCATTCAGGGGTCAGGGGTCACCCCGGGGTCACTCAGGGGTCAGGGGTCACCTCGGGGTCACTATGGGGTCAGGGGTCACCCCGGGGTCACTCGGGGGTCACTATGGGGTCAGGGGTCAGGGGTCACCCCGGGTCACTCAGGGTCACTCAGGGGTCAGGGGTCAGGGGTCAGGGCTCACCATGGTGGTCAGGATGTATTTGTAGAACGTCGACGTCATCCCCAGCTCCGAGGCCTGGGGCGGGGGGATTGAGGAGGTGTCCCCAAAAACCCCTGAAATCACCCCCAAATCCCTCCAAACCCCTCAAATCCCCCAAAGCCCCCAAATCCTCAACTCTAAACCCCCCAAAATGCCTCCAAACCCTCAAATCCCCCCAAACACCCCAAATCCTCAAATCCCCCAAATCCTCCCCAAACTCCTCCAAATCCCCCCTCAAATTCCCCAAATCCCCCTCAACCCCCTCAAACTCCCTCCCTGGCTCCCCCAAGCTCCCCAGACCCTCCCAAACCCCTTGAAAACCCCCTCAGACCCCCCACAAAACCCCAAATCCCCCCAAATCCCCCTAAATCCCTCCAGATCTCCCCCCACCCAAACCTCCCCCAAAGTCCCTCCCCAAACTCCCCATAAATCCCCATAAATCCCCATAAATCCCACCAAACCCCCATAAACCCCCCATAAATCCCCATAAATCCCCCAAATCCCCATAAATCCCCAAACTCCCCACATAAATCCCCATAAATCCCCATAAATCCCACCAAACCCCCATAAAACCCCCATAAATCCCCATAAATCCCCCAAATCCCCATAAATCCCCCAAACTCCCCCCATAAATCCCCATAAATCCCCCAGGACCCCCAAACCTTGGCCAGGACGAGGCCCAGCGATGGCAGCGGGGCCGTCGATGACGATGGTGGGCACTTTGTCATCCCCAAACCCCCATAAACCCCCATAAACCCCCATAAATCTCCCCCATAAACCCCCCAAACCTTGGCCAGCACCAGCCCAGCCGTGCTGGCGGGGCCGTCGATGACGATGGTGGGCACTTTGTCACCCCCAAACCCCATAAATCCCCCATAAACCCCCTAAATCCCCCAAATCCCCCATAAATCCCCCATAAATCCCCATAAGCCCCCAAATCCCCATAAACCCCTATAAATCCCCCAAACCTTGGCCAGCACCAGCCCAGCCGTGCTGGCGGGGCCGTCGATGACGATGGTGGGCACTTTGTCACCCCCAAACCCCCATAAATCCCCATAAATCCCCCCAAATCCCCCATAAATCCCCCAAATCCCCCATAAATCCCCCAAATCCCCATAAACCCCCAAATCCCCCATAAACCCCCCATAAATCCCCCCAAACCTTGGCCAGCACCAGCCCAGCGATGGCAGCGGGGCCGTCGATGACGATGGTGGGCACTTTGTCATCCCTGATCTCCTTGAGCAGCGGGGTCGGGTCCTGCTCCCCGTCCAGGACCCGCACGGAGAGCGACTCCCGGGAGATCAGGAACTGCCTCACCAGCTCCTCGAGGCGCAGCAGGCCTGGGGGACCCCAAAATCCGCAAAAATCACCCCCAAATCTGCCAAAATCACCCCAAAATCCATCCCCGGGACCCCAAAATCCCCCCCCGACTCCCGGGAGATCAGGAACTGCCTCACCAGCTCCTCCAGCCTCAGCAGGCCTGGGGGACCCCAAAATCCGCCAAAATCAACCCAAAATCCATCCTCGGGACCCCAAAATTCCCCCCCGACTCCCGGGAGATCAGGAACTGCCTCACCAGCTCCTCCAGCCGCAGCAGGCCTGGGGGACCCCAAAATCCACAAAAATCACCCCAAAACCCACCAAAATCACCCCAAAATTCATCAAAATCCACCCAAATCACCCCAAAATCCACCAAAATCCCCCCCAAATCCCCCCCGACTCCCGGGAGATCAGGAACTGCCTCACCAGCTCCTCGAGGCGCAGCAGGCCTGGGGGACCCCAAAATCACCCCAAAATCCATCAAAATCCACCCAAATCACCTGAAAATCCACCAAAATCCCCCAAAATCCATCCTCGGGACCCCAAAATCCCCCCCAACTCCCGGGAGATCAGGAACTGCCTCACCAGCTCCTCCAGCCTCAGCAGGCCTGGGGGACCCCAAAATCCACAAAAATCAACCCAAAATCTGGCCCTGGGACCCCAAAATCTGCAAAAATCACCCCAAAATCCCCCAAACCCCCAACTCCCCCGACTCCCGGGAGATCAGGAACTGCCCCCCCAGCTCCTCCAGCCTCAGCAGGACTGGGGGCAGATCTGAGACCCCCAAATTCATCTCCTGGGACCCCAAATCCAAACCCAGGACCCCCAAAGCCCCCCCAGCTTGCAGGAGAGCAGGAACTGCCCCTGAGACCCCAAATCCCTTGTCCAGGACCCCAAACCACCCCCAGATCCCTCCCATCGCCCCAACCCCCAAACCCTCTCCCAATCCCCCCCAACCCCCAAATCCCACCCAAACCCCTCAAAATCCCCCCAACCCCTCAAAAATTCCCCCAAATCCCACCCAAATCCCACCCAAACCCCTCCCATCACCCCAAACCCCCTTAAACACTCCTCCCCGTGCCCCCAAAATCCCCCCAAATCCTCTCCCATCCCCATTAAACCCCTTCCCACCCCCCTCAAACCCCCAAATCCCTCAGAAACCCCCAAAGCCCCCTAAATCCCCCACCCCCTAAATCCCCCCAGCTTCCCAAATCCCCCTACACTCGGGCCTGGCGCAGATGAGGGAGGCGGGGGGCGCGAAGGCTCCTCAGGAGCCCCCAGGGCCCCCAAATCCCCTAAATCCCCCTGAAAACCCCCAAATCCCCCCAGCCCCCCCAGCCCCCCAAATCCCCCCTACACTCGGGCCTGGCGCAGATGAGGGAGGCGGGGGGGCGCGGAGGCTCCTCAGGAGCCCCCCAGGGCCCCGCTGACGTCCTCGTTGCTGGGGTAGAGGCTGAGCGAGGCCAGGCGGAGCAGGGGGGGCCGGGGGGCGTCCTCGGGGCCCACCCGGATGTGGGGATCTGAAATTGGGGGTTTGGGGTCATTAGAGTCACAGGGGGTCATTTAGGTCACGAGGCGTCCTCAGGCCCACCCGGATGTGGGGGATCTGAAATTGGGGGTTTGGGAGTCATTAGGGGTCATTGGGGTCATTTGGGAGTCATTGAGAGGCGTCCTCGGGACCCACCCGGATGTGGGGGATCTGAAATGGGGGGTTATTTGGGTTATTGGGGTCATTTGGGGTCATTTGGGGTCATTGAGGCGTCCTCGGGCCCACCCAGATGTGGAGGATCTGAAATTGGGGGTTTGGGGTCATTGGGGGTTTGGGGTCATTGGGAGTCCCAGGGGGTCATTTGGGGTCACGGGAGGGAGTTTGGGGTCATTGGGGAATTATTGGAGTCACTGGGGGCGTCCTCGGGGCCCACCCGGATATGGGGATCTGGAAATTTGGGGTCATTTGGGGTCATTTGGGGTCATTAGGGGCGTCTCTGGGGCCCACCTGGATGGGAGGATCTGAAATGGGGAGATTGGGGGAGGCTTTAGGTCATTGGGGGTCATTTGGGGTCATTGGGGTTATTGGGGTCACTGGGGGCTTATTGAGGTCACAGTGAGCCACAGGGGGTGCCGGGGTGTTTTGGGGTGTTTTAGGGCAGTTTTGGGGGTCCTCACCTCTTTCTCCTCGCAGATGTGGCTGACCGTGGGGGTGGGTTTGGGGGTTCCGGGGAGGGCTTTTGGGGTGTTTGGGGTGTTCTCACCTTTCCCCAGAGGCTGACCGGTGTTTTGGGGTCAGTTTGGAGGGGTGTTTTTGGTTTAGGGGGTATTTTTGGGGTGTTTTTGGGTGTTCTCACCTCCTTCTCCCACAGATGTGGCTGACCGTGGGGTGGGTTTGGGGTCCTGGGAGGTTGGGGGTTTTGGGGTGGTTTAAGGTGGGCTTTAGGGGTGTTTTTGGGGTATTTTGGGGTATTTTTGGTCAGTTTTGGGGTGTTCTCTACTCCTTCTCCCGCAGATGGGCTGACCGTGAGGGGTGGGTTTGGGGGATTTTTGGGGTGCTTTGCGGTATTTTTGGTCGGTTTTGGGGTGTTTTGGGGAGTCCTCACCTCTTTCTCCCCGCAGATGTGAGCTGACCGCGGCCGCGGCGCCGGCCCGGCCCAGCACCGAGACCACCCTTGGGCAGGATCTGACACACTGGGGAGGGGCACGACTGGGGGCTGGAAACCCCGGGACCACCTCAGACCCCCCAGTCCCTGCCCAGTCCCACCCAGTCCATCCCAGTGCCTCCCAGTGCCTCCCCAGTGCCTCCCTAGTCCCCTCCCAGGGCCCCACTCCTCATCCTGGGACCCCTCGGACCCCCCAGTAGGTTCCCTCGGAACACCCAGACCCCCCAGTGCCCCCATTCTACCCCAATACCCCTCCCAGTCTCTCCCAGTCCCTCCCCATTCCCCCAGTACAACCCAGTCCCCCAAATCCCCTCCCAGTGCCCCCACTCCCTCCCAGTGCCCTCCAGTCCCCCCCAGTGCCCTCCTCCCCAGTCCTCTCCCTCCCACTCCCCCAAAACCCCTAAACACTCTCCCAGTCCCTCCCAGTGCCCTCCCAATCCTCCCAGTCCCCTCCCAAGCCCCCCCAGTCCCTCCCAGTGCCCCCTAAGTCCCCCCTGAACCTCCCCCTAATCCCCTCTCCCAATCCTCCCCACAGTCCCGACCCAGTCCCTCCCAGTCCCCTCCCAGTGTCCCCCAACCCACCCAGAAACCCCCCAAACACCCCCCAATCCCCTCCCAGTCCCCTCCCCTCGTGCCTCACTGGGTGTCGGTGGTCTCGTACTGGCTGTCCCGGGGCAGCCTCGAACACATCGACCTCGAGCCGGGCCGGGGTCTCCCCGGGCCATTGACGTGTTCCCGGGCCAGGGCCAGGGCCAGGCGCTCCCCCTGCCGCAGCCCCCTGCTCGTCCAGGATGGCGGCTGGGGCAATGGGGGTCAGATCCCAAAACCTCCCCAAAAAAACCCTGACCCCAAAACCCTCAAAAAAACCTGAACCCAAAAACCCCCCTAGAGACCCCAAACCCCCCAGAGACCCCAAACCCCAGAGACCCCAAACCCACCCAGAGACCCTCCTCGATCAACCCCAGAACTCCCCCCTGCCCGCAGCCCCCTGCTCGTCCAGGATGGCGGCTGGGGGCACGGGGGCTGCTGATCCCAAACCCCCCAAAAACCCCTGACCCCAAAAAACCCCTCCTGAAAAAACCTGACCTAAAAACTCCCTCGTGAGACCCCAAACCCACTCCACAGAACCCCCTGCCCGCAGCCCCTGCCTGTCCAGGATGCATGGCTGGTGGCACGGGGGCCAGACCCCAAAAACCCCCTGAAAAATCCTGACCCCAAAACCCCCCCAGAGACCCCAGCCCCCCAAGACCCCCAACCCCCCAAATCTCCCACCCCGACCCCCCTGTGCCCCCAATCTCACCCAGACCCCGAGCCTCCCCCAAATCTCACCCCCTGACCCCTGCAGACCCCCTCCGACCCCCGGGACCCCTGTGACCCCCTCAGCCCCCAGCCCCCCCAAATCTCCCACCCCGACCCCTGTGACCCCCTGACACCCGTGGGACCCCCCTGTGCCCCCTGCGACCCCCTAGCATCTCCTCTCTGCCCCCCTCTCACCCATCCGCAGCGGGGGCCCGGAGTCTCCTGGGGCGGCGGCGCCCACGAAGAGGAGCAGGAGCAGCGTGGGGCGGGGGCAGCATGCCTCTCCTCATGGGGTCCGGCTGCGGCACCGCCGCCTGCGACCCCCCACCCCCAGGGCGTCAGTGACCACCCCAAAATCCCACTCGGGACCCCCAAAACCCACCCGGGACCCCCCAAACCCACCTGGGACCCCCCTGGACCCCCAAATCCACTCTGGACCCCCACCCCCAGGGCGTCAGCGACCACCCCAAAAATACAGTGGACCCTAAAAACTCCACCCGGGACCCCAAAATCCCACCTGGGACCCCCGCCCCAGGGCGTCAGTGACCACCCAAAAACACAGTGGGACGCCCAAAACCCATCTGGGAACCCCAAGTAATCCCACACCTGACTCCCTCTGGACCCCCACCCCCAGGGCGTCAGTGACCACCCCAAAAACACAGAGAGGGACCCCTAAACCCCCTGGGACCCCCTGGACCTCCTAAATCCCTCCGGGACCCCCCCACCCCCAGGGCGTCAGTGACCACCCCAAAATACAGTGGGACCCCAAAACCCACCTGGGACCCCTAAAATCCCACCCGAGGACCCCCTGGGACCCCCCACCCCAGGGCGTCAGTGGCCACCTCCCAAAATCCCACTCGGGACCCCCAAAACCCACCTGGGACCCCTGCAGTCCCACCCCCAAACCCCCCAACAGTCCCATGAATTTGGGGCGTCCCCAGGGGTCCTGGGGTGGTTTGGGGGTCCTGGGGTCTCCTGGGGTTTGGGGTCCCCTGAAGGGGCCGGGATTTGGGGCTCTTTGAGGGGGGTCCTGGAGCTTGGGGGTCCCTGGGGTGGGGGTTTAGGGGACTCCTCTCCCAATCCCTCCTGGGATTCTGGGGTCCCGGGTTGGAGGATCCCGGGGGTCCCTGAGGGTCCCTGGGGGTCCCGGGCTGAGGGTGGGGTCCTGGGGGTTCCCCATCCCAATCCCTCCCGGGATTTTGGGGTTCCTGGGATTTTGGGGGTCCTGGGGTTTGGGGGTCCTGGGGTTCCTGGGGTCCTGGTGCTCGGGAGGGGTCCTGGGGGTCCTCTGCCCCAACCCCTCCCCCGCAGCCTCCCAAAAGTGTCCGGTAACCGTTGCCATGGCACGGCTCCGGCTCCACGGATGCTGCGGCTGCCTTGGCAACGGAGGGGGAGGGGTGAAGGACCAGGGGCGACCCCTCCCCACCCACCGGTGCTTCCCACCCACCCCCTCCCCACTCAGGACCCCCCTAAACCCGCCCCTTCCTCCCCCCCCAATCCCCGGAGCCTCCGGGACCCCCCAAAAACGACCCCCAAAAATCAACCCCTAAAAATCAACCCCAAAAATCAACCCCAAATCAACCCCAAAATCAACCCCAAAAATCAACCCCAAAATCAACCCTTAAAAATCAACCCCAAAAATCAACCCCAAAAATTAACCCCTAAAAATCAACCCCCAAAAAACCCCAAAAAAACCTCCCAAAACCCGGCCCCCCCACCCCCCAAAATTCAACCTGGGGGACCCCCAGGCCTCGCCCCTCCCCCCCACGCCCCGGTTTGGGACCCCCAAAATTGGGATTCGGGGAAAATGGGATCAGGATCGGATCGGATCGGGGAGGGCGGTGGGAATCTGGGAGGGGGGAAGCAGGGGAGACTGGGAATGGGAACCGGAATGGGGGGATGTGGATCCGGGACCATGGATTTGGGGACCGGGATTTGGGGATCGGGACCGGGAATGGCGCCGGGAACGGGGGAGGGGTCCCGGGAACGGGGAGAGGGGGCGGGGGGGATGGATCGGGAATCGAGGGATGGATCCAGGACCGGGAATCGGTACCGGGAATGGGGGGGACGGACCCGGGAATGGGGACCGGGGGATGAATCCCGGGAATCGCGGGCCGGGAACGGGGAATTGGGGCTCGGGAATTGGGGATCAGGAATTGGGGCTCGGGAATTGGGGCTCGGGAATTCGGGATCGGAAATTGGGGCTCGGGAATTCGGGATCGGTACCGGGAATGAGGACGGAGCCCGGGCCGGGGCCCGGGAGCGGCGATGGATCCGGGAGCCGGGAATGGACCCGGGAGCCGGGAATGGACCCGGGAGCCGAGAATGGATCCGGGAGCCGGGAATGGGGCCGGGAGCCGGGAATGGGATCGCGGGGATGGATCCCCGCACCGGAAACCGGGGGCCGGGAGCGGGGCCGGGAGCGGGGCTGGATCAACGGGAGGGATCCCGGGAAAGGATCCCGGGGAAGGATCCGCCGGATGGATCCCCTCGATCGATCCCGGGAGCGGCGGCGCCGGGACCGGCGGCGGGAACCGGGAATTGGGAACCGGGAATTGGGAGCCGGGAATTGGGAACCGGGAATTGGGAGCGGGAATTCCGGAACCGGGCGTGGAGCTGCGGACTGGAACCGGGATGGAAACTCGGGATTGGGAGCGGGGCCCGCGGGGGGATCCCGGGAATGGGAACCGGGAATGGGAACCGGGAACGGGAACCTGGAATGGCGGCGGATGCCGGGG